ATAAAACACCAATGAAAAATTATATAATGTAAGTCTATGGGAAAACAAGACTTTACTTGGGGACATTTCGACTTAGGGACACTCTTGAAGTCTTGATGCACTATGATTATGTCCGCACCTGGGGGCCTAAAAGTGGTCTTCGTTTTTCCTGAGTTAAACAATTCAATATTTAGCAATTCAGGTTTTAAATAACTTGAATTGTTTGATATACTGCTGTACAGTAGAATGTGATTGCAAAAAATTGGATTTCAAGGAATTCTTGCTCACAGACTAGTCTCTTGTGTAAAAAGTCTGTTATGCAAATTTAATTATTAAGAAATTAAAATTTTTACTTTGTACTGTACCATTATTTTAAACCAGCAGTAGAAGTCTTTTATGCAGATTCAGTCTGTTGCGCGGGAGGGTAATAAAACCACCTCCAAAGACAGTATGTTGTGCAAAAATCCATTTTGAGGAGGTCTGTTGTGCAGAGGTCAACTATAATCCCATTTGAATTTCTTTATGATGGATTTTTGATTTTCCAAAAAGTTTTTTTCTTAAGAACAGTGGCTTAGTTTTAACACGATTCTACTATAGTATGTTTTTTTTTAGGAGTAAAGAAGCTGAATATTCTTTTGAGCTACCTGTCTTGATTACTTACCATTTTCTTAAATATACCATGCAAAAGATATGGTGAGGGTTGATTTTTCAAGCATAAATTGATGAGTTGAGTTGTTATGAATGCTCTTCTTGTAAACTTATGTGTTATCTTCTCTGATGTGTCCATGATCTTTTCCCTCTGATCACATTTGCTCTTTTGTCCTATGTGCATTTGGACNTGAGGGTTGATTTTTCAAGCATAAATTGATGAGTTGAGTTGTTATGAATGCTCTTCTTGTAAACTTATGTGTTATCTTCTCTGATGTGTCCATGATCTTTTCCCTCTGATCACATTTGCTCTTTTGTCCTATGTGCATTTGGACTCGCTCTTCTGATGGAAACTTGTTCACCATATTTCTTCTCCTCTCTGCACATTTGCCTTTTTGTCCACTTCTATTTTTGGTCCTTGCTCTTTTGTCCTCTTCTATTCTGTGCATTTGCTCTTTTTTCTCAATCATATTTCCACTTTCTCGCTTGTCCTCTTCTCTCTTGTGAACTTGCTCTTTTGTTTTTGTATATTTTTTGTGCTTGCTCTAATGTTCTCTTTAGAAGAAAGATGGACGAGATTACAGGAGAATAGAAGAAAGATGAACGAGATAACAGGAATAAACAAAGATGAACGAGATAAGACGAGAATAAAAGAAAAATGACATGAGTGAGATAACAGGAGAGTACTTGGGTCTAAACTTGCTCTTTTGTCCACTTATCCTGTGCAAAATTGCTCTTTTGTCCACTTATCCTGTGCAAAATTGATCTTTTGTCCACTTATCCTGTGCAAACTTGCTCTTTTGTCCACTTATCCTGTGCAAACTTGCTCTTTTGTCCACTTCTCCTGCTCTTTTGTCTGCTTCTCCTGCTCTTTTGTCCACTTCTCCTGCTCTTTTGTCCACTTCTCCTGTCCAAACTTGCTCTTTTGTATTCTTCTCTTAAATGCAATTGCTCCCTTTTATCCTTACTCTATAGTTAACTTGCTCTTTTCAATTTACTAGTTTTTTCTGCTTACTATAGGTGTTTTATGCACTTGATTTTCGTCCCTCCTCTGTTCTCTTCTGCTGTGTTTTCCCTCGTTTCTTTTGGGCTGTATAGTTGCTTTTTTCAAGTCTTTCTCATCGTCTCATGAAATACCTTTTGCTTGGGTCCAAAACCCCACCGTTGAACTTTGGTTTTGGGGCTCCTAGACCGTATGGCCGCGGGGTCCAAATAAAACGAGCGCTGTGAATGGGTTTTTCGAGCAGACATGCGAAAACCAACGACCTGCTGCTGCTCTTGTGTGTGTACATATGGATAAATAAGGGACAAGGAGGAGATGAGGACTAGAAACTTGGAAGTATAGAGAACAAGATGCTGTAAATGAAGAGAATAAGGAAGTGACTATTTCTTTTTTTCTTTGTTTTATTATTATGTAGAAGGAATTTAGGCGCGATACAGGTAATCCGAAACCCCCCAGATGCAATGATGTATTTGTTTTCCTTTTCTTGTTATTCTATTTTTATTTATTTTTTGGTGAGTTGACTTCCTTTGGCAGATGACTTGCTTTTTAACAACAGGTTTCATTTGGTGTATGTGAGCCCTTTGTGTTATAGGCTTTGTGTGGGTCTGCAGAGGATGAATGAGGGAGGATTCAGTCCTGAATTTTCTGATTGATTGTTTCATTGATTTATTGAATGGTACTATTGTGAGGAAAAAAAAGAATCCTTTACCCTACCTTGTAAATATACTGGACTAAGGAGTAGACTTTATTCGACTACGTAAAAAAGTTATTACGTTCTGGTTATTTTGTTTAAACAACGTCTCTCTTAAAACAACATAGGCAAGAACCCCTTTAACATGGGGAGAGAAGCATTTGAAACTGAAAAAAAGCTTTATATTGATTGATAAACAAACTTTATTTTTAGCCTTTTAGTGTTTACAAGGTTCAAACAAAGTTCCCACATCCAAACACATTCCATCAAATCAGGTTGAAAATAGATGAATAAGCTGTTTATATGGGAATTAAATAAATGGAACATGCATCACAAAATGTACAAATGCACAACTGATGTAAAGGCATAAACTTTGTTCCCCTCAACAAGATTACAGAAAGGAAATACCGGTAATAACAATTACATAATAATGCAATTAAAAAACACAAATTAAAGCACAAGGTATTCAGCCTGCTCCCAGATAAGTTTTAGTTGATTGAACAATTTGGAGAGAATATTTTGAGAAGAAGTCATGCTTTATACAAAGAACATCTTTATAGACTTGATTGTTAGTGTAGAACAAGAGAGTCCATCAAATTTTCTTCAATAATAATATGATGATGGAGCACTTGCTGGCATGGGCACAATTTTACTTATAGAATCTCTGAATTTAAAAGAAAAAGTGCCGCGACATCTGCTGGGCACTGTTTCAAGATATTAATTTTGCCAATTTTGGCAAAATTTATAATGGTATGAAAAAAAGTTGAAGTGAGGCGTATATCATTTACTCTCTCTCTCTCTATTTTTATTGGCGCATATTATCACTATCTTCATGCTGGCCTGCCATCTTAGTGTTGGGCCAGGAAGCTAAAGCTTTGCATGNTTTCCTTTTCTTGTTATTCTATTTTTATTTATTTTTTGGTGAGTTGACTTCCTTTGGCAGATGACTTGCTTTTTAACAACAGGTTTCATTTGGTGTATGTGAGCCCTTTGTGTTATAGGCTTTGTGTGGGTCTGCAGAGGATGAATGAGGGAGGATTCAGTCCTGAATTTTCTGATTGATTGTTTCATTGATTTATTGAATGGTACTATTGTGAGGATTTTTTTCTTAGGAAATGGGATGGAACATTTATATGACCTGATTCCTCATCTGAAATAAGCTGATGCATTTTTTCAATAATGCAAGACCAATAAAACAAATTTGTTGCAGAGAGAATTTTGTTGTATAGACAAGAACCCCTTTAACATGGGGAGAGAAGCATTTGAAACTGAAAAAAAGCTTTATATTGATTGATGAACAAACTTTATTTTTAGCCTTTTAGTCTTTACAAGGTTCAAACAAAGTTCCCACATCCAAACACATTCCATCAAATCAGGTTGAAAATAGATAAATAAGCTGTTTATATGGGAATTGAATAAATGGAACATGCATCACAAAATGTACAAATGCAAAAGTAATGTAAATAGGCATAAACTTTGTTCCCCTCAACAAGATTACAGAAAGGAAATACCGGTGATAAAAATTACATAAAAATGCAATTAACAAACACAAATTAAAGCACAAGGTATTCAGCCTGCTCCCAGATAAGTTTTAGTTGATTGAACAATTTGGAGAGAATATTTTGAGAAGAAGTCATGCCTTATACAAAGAACATCTTTATAGACTTGATTGTTAGTGTAGAACAAGAGAGTCCATCAATTTTTCTTCAATAACCATGATGAGGGAGCACTTGCTGGCATGGGCACAATTTTACTCATAGAATCTCTGAATTTAAAAGAAAAAGTGCCGCGACATCTGCTGGGCACTGTTTCAAGATATTAATTTTGCCAATTTTGGCAAAATTTATAATGGTATGAAAAAAAAGTTGAAGTGAGGCGTATATCATTTACTCTCTCTCTCTCTATTTTTATTGGCGCATATTATCACTATCTTCATGCTGGCCTGCTATCTTGGTGTTGGGCCAGGAAGCTAAAGCTTTGCATGTGACCACCAGAGGTCGCTTTTCCAAGCCTTACTCAACGACAGTAACAAAGCGGGTGAAATCTTATTTGTATACAACGATCTTCCAGGATTTCTTTGAGAATGCTGTTTTTTTTTTAATGAAGAACAAGTTTTATGAGAGTAAAGTTAAGAAATTCTGAATTTTTTTTATCAAAATCGCATTCCTTTGCAATTTTCTGAAGATGAAGGAAAATTCGTTACAGTAAAATTTTCATAATCCGCGCTTTTTTTTTGAGGGACTTATTCACTAATGTTGCTTGTTGTTATGAATGATAACGGAATTAGACCTGCATTTCTTTTAAAAAAATGAAAGCTCTAAAAAAAAAAAGTTGTCAAAATCCGTGACAGTTTGAGCTCGGGAATATTCCGAAGATGCAGGAAGTGATTCGCTTTTGAGTCTCACATGTGTATAAGGCGTTAAGTGACGCATAAGACTGAGGATATGGCTCGAATTTTCCTTTTGTCAAATACTCTCTCTCTCTCTCTTTCTCTCATCCTTAGATACACCACCTTTTTGAAGACGTGTGAATGAGGCAGACATGTGTCTGCTAAAGCCATTTTGTTTCGAAACCCGCGACGATGAGAACGTGACTCTCGTCGATCGGGTCCTGGCAGCCAGAATGGCGCAGTTGCTGTCACATCCCAAAAAAAAAAAGAAAAAAAAAACACAAACAACCTCAGCACTTACCACTTTTTACTCATTTCTTATACTTCACAGTTGTTATCTTTTACACACGCTATGTGTTCCCACTTCCGGCTCCTGACCTTGAAAATCCGTCGAGAAAACTCCACATTAATTTTTTGAAGGTCGCATGAAGCTCAACTTTTTTTTCATTAATCTGCAAGATATGTATTTCTTAATTAAATCCCTGGAAGAAATGCACTTATTCAACTCTCACAAAGAGAAGAAATAAAATCTGTAAGACAAGTATAAAGATAGACTCTTTATATAACACTTTTTGGATTTTTTTTCCCAAAGTTCCGATGAAGTTTTTATTACTCAAGTGTGGCGGAGAATTCTTGAAAATGCCAGCATTTAATTTTTTTAATTCACTGGTCCTGGAAATAAAATCAAAACTGTTCTTCATTGTAAACCATCAATTTCGTTTGTTTCAAATGAAAAAAAACGATATTCAAGTCCATGTTGGCCTCAAGAAAACATTCCGATTCCGTCGTTTTCTTTGTTATTCTGCTGTTCGAAGAACATGAAGTCCTGAAAAATGAAACGAAAAAAAAGGATAAATTTTTGCATTAATTTATCTTCTTCATTTCCGTATATCAAGGATCGACTTTTTGAATGCTGTATGATACTCACTATAAGGAAAACTGCTCCGAGAAGAACAGCTTTCATCCTTACGTCAAGGTCCAGTGGGAAACTGATGCCAAAATTGTCTGCGTCGGTGAACATTTCTTTTGCAAGACCCGACCATTGTTTACTGATCTTTCCGACGGATTCTCCAGTGGATTCAGAAAAAATCTAATTCATTCGAAAAAAAAAAATTAAATGGTGAATATAAAAAATAAACAAGGATGAGCAGAAAAAAAACAGACGAGGGTATTCAAAAATGAATACTTTACGGTGGTAGGTATTGAAAAACAAATAAAATGGTGAGGATCTAAAAATGCATTTATTATTAGTATAGTTATTCAAAAAATAATTATGAAATGGTGAGCAAAGGGAATAAAATGGCGAGAATTAAAATGCAATTAAGTGGTAAATATTCACAAATAAATTAAGTGGAAAACATAAAAAATCATTTAATAAGTTTTCAAGTATAATCAAGTGGTGAGTATTCAAAAATAGATGAAAGGGTAACAATATTCCAAAAATAATATGATTTTCATTTAAATAAATATCATGATATGTATAATGGAATAAAAAATATTAGCTGTTCAAAAATAACTGAAATGTCAGTCATTAAAAAATGAATTTAATGGAAGCTTTGCTCAAATGAATGAAAAGGTCAAATTTTTCAGGCCTTGAGAAAAAAATAAAATCTGAGCTTTCAAAATTAGCTAAAAGATGACAGTGAAAGATACACACACAAGTTTTTTTTTTAATTTCAGAAATGTTTCCCATCAAAATGTGAAAATTTTAAAGAAATATTTCAACAAAGTTTTTTTTTCATTTTGCTGAGGATGAAATGTACTTTGCAACAAATCAAAGGAATGCTGTAGTCAAGGTATATGTAATCAGGGTTTAAATTTCTTGCCGCACTTCAACTTCTGAATCTGTTGAAATTCTTATCAGCAACTTTATTTGCAACTATACCGTATTATATCAAAAACTGCTTTCTTTTTACAGGCCTTGTAAGTACTGTACTGTGCTGGTTTTTTTCATCTGAGATGACTTGAAGGAATGATGAAAATGTTATCTGAGATTTCAGGGGTTCACCTCAAATTCAACATCACCACAGAGAGACCATGTGCAACAAGGTCCTGCCATCTTAAGAACTGGGTTTCCAGCTGCATCCTTGATGACATATCTTGGATGGATGATGGACCATGTTTGTTCTATTGAGCCCAAAAAATCCCCTGGACTTGCATAGACATCCATTTTCTATGAAAAACACATCAATTTTGTTGATTATTTCAACTATTGAGTAAGTTCACATTATAATCAGACCATCAACAGTAGTTCAACAAAAGTTGTTTCATTCAGTTACCTTCCAACTCAAACATGTCAGAAATTCCAAGAACTTAATTGCTTAAAATTGCATTTTTAAGGTATCCATTCTTATACCTGGCTTTGGTGAGTATATATGAGTTGATCTACTCAACCATGAATTTATTTTCAATTTGACTCAATGCATAAAAATTAGTAAACAAAGTTGATTTAATTTTTCATTTACAGTATCAGTTTTTTAGATATAATTAGAGGATGTGCAGAAACTTACTCTTGCAAGCTTCAATCAAAACATTCTTGAAATAATTTTTTTTATTTCTGCATTCAAAATTTAATTTAAAGATATATTTGGAAGACAGAATAATTTTTTTTGAAAATGGGTTTCAATCAATTGAAGTCAAGTTTTAGCTGATTTAACAGATACAGTACAGTACTTCAATTTGAAAAAATGAAAATTTTTGAATATATTCCAATTTTTCCAGGAGTTTGATCAAGTCCATTTTAAATCATAAATTGTTCTTTCAATTTCAATTAATTTGGAAATTTTGGTTATACTCCTTTTATAACATGAAATTGTCCATACCTGAAGACAGCAGAAACACAGACAGGAGTCACAGCGAAGAGGCCTATTGAAAATGAGAACTTCTTGCTTGTTCAGGTCATAGATCTTCATGTCAAAGGGTCTGATTGGTCCACAGATGTTTCTTGTGCAACAATCTGATTTCTCAGCTGCATAGTAAACCTTCTGGCCCAAGGTGTTCTTGATGGTGTACTTATTGGCAGTTTCAAATCCAGTGAATGCTGTTGATATGAAATGATCAGTCCAGTCAATTCTCTCTGTTTCAGCTTGGTAAGTTTAGACAAAAGGACCAAAATTCTGGTATCTTTTCACATTTCTTAGGTGCCCTCATTAAATGATCAATCATATGTTTGACTTACTGTGTTAAGTTTGGCTGAATTGCAGGAATGAAAATTACCCCTCCATAGGTCCAGGATTGAAACAAAACTGTAGAATTCCAGATGGTTACACTTTTTAATTGTCAAATTTTTCATTTATATTAAATTTGCTTTTTCTAAACTTCTTGGAAAGAATAATGCATAAAAATCATTTGAAAATATTGTTTTCTTTGGAACTTGCTTTAACATATTTTCTAAAAATTGTTATAGAATCAGATTGCTTCCTCTTTCAGTGATTCAAGAATCTTGAGAAAAAGTTACCCTCAAGAAGTTCAATTTTCTGATGAATCAGTAACTGGTCAACATGGGTCAAGTATTCCAGACCCCTGGGACAGTTGGTGGGTTGTGGCCAAGCTTGTCCTGGAGCTTGATAACCTCCAACTTGAGGTGCATGACTAATCACTGCTGGCCCATCCCCTGTTGAGTAATTATTGAATATTTTAGAATGTTTTCCTAAGTGAAGGTGCTTCATGCATTCCATACCTCTGACATCCCAACCTGCTGGTGTTGGCTCAGGGGCATACATGACTTTCCTGGATTTCATTCAAGATGGAAATAAGTATTGATGTCAAAATTTGACAATGGTGTACTCCATTAATGAAAAATTGATTTATTAATCAGTAGGGTTATGCAAAATTGTCAATATGCAAAACACAAAATATCCCTTGGGTCTCATTTGAAGCATAGTTTTCTGCAGGCTAAAAAAGAAACTGCTACTCCATTAGCCCACAAAAATTAATTAGTTCAGCAGGTCAAGAACATGAAATTATTCACATTTTTCCCAGGAAAGGTGCATAAATGCAAGACAGGAAAATTTTGTGACACTATCCAATTTTCAAAGATATATAAAAATAGTTCTCAGATACTTTTAGTATTTGGTGAATGACTGGGGGGTTTTGATTGATTTTTGCCTTAGGAATAATTAAGAAAGTTTACAGCAATATACTTTTAAATTGCATGCACTTTTATCTGGACATTATTCTCACTTGGAACATATTCATTGTGCAACTTTATTTTTGTCTCAAATATTTTTTTCAAATATGTTCTGTTGTAAGAGTCATTCATTATGCAGAGATTCACTGTACAGAAAACATTTTCCCTTTTTCAAATTGTCCAGAATGAATATTTTCCCAGCTTCAGAAAATACACACAAACTTCTATATCATTATTTGGAAAAAATCACTTTGGAAGAACAAGAAGCTGTTGAACTAATGAACCAAAACTGCCAACTGAAGTGTGGCATGCTGTGTGTTATCATGCAAAAAAGGGGCCTTATCTGACTTTTGTAGCGTCAGTCACACATTTCTTATCAGAAACCTTTCCTAAATGCATGTATTGCTCTTATCATGGGAAAGGAAAGCTGATTTATGAGGTATTTTTGTTGCACTTCCAGGGTATCCTTCATGAATTCTTATTCTTGTGAACAGATGATATGCTGTGAAGAATGACCTCAATCACATTCTTTGATATTTCAACAGATGATCAGCACTCTAGCTGACATCACACAGCATTCTGAACAAAGCAAATGAAAGCTGGGGATGATTCAAGCTTTATTATTGCAACATTACATGGGAGGTTTTACTTTGAAAACCTTGGCTTATAGAAGCTTTGATGGAACCTTTGCATATATGGTGGATAACAGATAGACAAATTTATGATCTTTCAGAAAATGCACTTCCTGGGACAGTGCATGAGCTAGGACAAAAAGAAAGCTTCAGTATACCTTCTTGATCATATTTTTCCAGTTCAGCGTTCTGATTGAATGGTACCCAACCAAAAGCCCCCCGGAAAGCCCCCCCCCCCCACGTTTTTATAATTGGATGCAAGTTTCATAATAGTGCTTGGTTTCATTAGTCCTCAAAAGGACTGTTCAATAATCATCTTCAAAATTGCCTTCTATACTGCCTCTTCCTCACTGTCACTGATGCTCTCCATGTCATTTTCTTCTAAATAGCCATTTCAGTATGCAATTTGACTGCCCTTCTGATTACTGATGATCTGAACTGCACCAGCCATTGGTGTCAGGAATAAACCCAACAAATGATGAGTTGAGTAGTAGAACCTTTTTAGAAAAGAATTTTAGGATGGAAATTTTGAATGAAACTCAGGAATTCGGTCGGGCTGCGACCGGGGTGAGAACACCCTATTATAACGTTGATATATTCGTAGGATTCAAAATTGACACTTGATGAAATCGCTCGCAAATCTTGGAGTAACCGCACACCCAAAAAGCAGAGACTGGACTGTGTAGATCATTATTATTTTGGAAACCAGGAAAACTGTCCTACAAGGACAAGATTTAGCAAAATAGGATTAGCAGTGAAAGGCAGCCTTGGAGGCTTCCGTAAGTTACATGAGAACCGAGGTTTCCCGAGGTTCTCACGGAAAGTGGAATTTGTCCTCAAGGACGAGAATTCGGGTTCTCAATCTTGCTTTCTAAAAATAGAACTAAAAAATTCGCGACAATTGGACCAACAAGGTGAACTGTAGATTTTGCAGAAGTCAGCGAATGATGATGCTTTGAAATTCAAAAAAATCACTGATGACCATTGCAGGTGAAGAATCCCTTCATATACTCAACTTACAAACATATTGGTACTTGGCCTGGTGCTGGGCATGCTGGTGAAATGTGAATCTTACCATCAAGAGCTACAAGAATACCTGGTGAAAGGTGCAGCTTACCATCAAGAGTTACAAGAATACCTGTAATCCCCAATTTTTGCACCTAGGGGGGCTTTTGACCAAGGGGTGGCTTTTGGACTACACCCTGATTAAATATTGCAGAAACATAGTGGAAATTTCTCAACCAACATAAGTTCCTTCAAGTATAAACTGTGGGGAAAGTTTTGGTTGAGTGGCTGCTTATTGCAAATCACTTTGAAGACGCTTGCTACTAGCTGTGACACCCCTTGTAGGAACCGTTTCATCCATCCTTTAAAAATTTGCAATCTCATTTTGTGGTGTTTTTTTAACTGTATGGTATGATCAAACTGAGAAATATGAATGACTAAACTTGACATTGTCTAAAAAATAAATGCTAGAGTGTGATTTGTTATGCTGAATGATTGAACTTTGGAGTCCAAATTCTTGGGAAGACTTGTCCTTGTGCATCTCTGTGAGAACTGGGAAAGACCTTGGTTCATACACACTTTTTCTGGAAGCCTCCAAGGCTGTTTTCTATTGCTAAAATCCTGGTTCTGTTATTTGTCCTTGGAGGACAGTTTTCCTGGTTTCTGAATCAATCAAAATCACTCACTCTTCTCTGAGCTCTCATACCAGACGCTCCAGTGTTTTTGGGAATATTGAGTGTGTTGACTGTGTTCTTGAATTATATAACAACCTTAAAATAGGGTGAAATTTCACCCTGGTTGCAGCTCAACCAAATTCTGTTGTTTTAATTCATTCTCATCTAAAACTACTAAAAGCAAATTCTTCTAACTCAAATAATTTTTTTAACATCTTTATTGTCAAGGATTTATTTGTGACAAACATATCATTCATGAGAAAATTCATCAAGGAACCTTTTGATTTTAAAATTTTCCAGTGTGGCCTGTTTCAGGAGAATAAAATTAGAAAAATGTCTAAAAATTTTACTCTTTTCTTTCTCTATCATGAAGAAACACTTTCTTGGCTACACAAGCAGCTCCTCTATAGAAATGTCTGAATGTGCATTAAATATTCAAAGCAATACTGCATTATACTGAACCCCAAATGTGACTGAATTCATGCATGCAGTATAGCCTTTTGTGGTCGCTGTTCTTTCATCACCTTTTTCTGTGTGCCTTCTCCTCAGTGAATGCATTGCATTTTTTCACTTGTTATTCTCGTCTCAGGTTCTGGACATACTTGAAAGCTGGAGTTGGATGAAACTTCATCCCACATCATCGGGAATCCCGTTCAGTGCTTGGTTTCCTTTGGCTTTGGTTTTGATATGGAGTCTGGAAAGATTGAGACTGGAATTGGCAGGACGGTATCTGCAGAGGAAATTGAGGCATTGAAAAGGAAATTTTCTAGTCGTCATCATGTAGTTGTCGTCGTCGTTCTTGTACTCGTAATAATAATGACAGTCCTACGACTAGTTGTCGGCTTTTTTTGATCTTCTCAGTGTTTACAAAACTCACTATTCTTTCACGACTTCGTAGCTAAAAGACCGGCGGATGGGCGACACCATTATCATCTTCCGCCGCCGCCAAAAGAAGCAATCAGGGACGCCTTTTTTGGGATTCGCAGAACGTCCTCTGCTGAGGATGTGCTGCAATTCAAATGTGACTGTGAGTCAAAAATAAAAAATAATCCCCTTTTTAATATTTTTTATGCAGCAGTTGATGTGAAGAATAAATCAAGTTTGAGTAGTTTTTACAATAAAGTGTGACACTCAGCAGCCGGGCTGTGGCCGGGGTGAATGACACCCTAGTTTAAAGTTGTTATATTTCAATTCAAAACCACAAGTCCAGGAATTTCCGCTGTGTTGGAGAAAATGTACAACACACAAAGTTGCTTGTACAAAGGTAAAAACCAGAGTGCCTGATAAAATAGAATTCATTAAACAAGAAAACTTTGTAGAAGGTCAGTCAGAGATGACCTCTCATAGATAAGGATTTGTAGGAAATATTTGACCTTGGAGGTCAGAGAGGAATTTCTCCTTGAGGAGAAGGCTATGTGAGAATCTGTGGCCTTGGTTTCTCATGGGGTTTTACCAAAGGATTACCATCCTTAATTTTGCACAAGTTCTGGGATATTACCATTCTTGGATTTTTTGTGACAGTTGAACCTTGATCAGTTATTGAACCACCCCAAGTCAAATTTTTTTTCAAGTCCCTGCAACTGAATTTCTTTATTGGAAACAATGTACTGTACACATCAATTGACCCCCACACAATAATGGAATTGATTTGTGCAACAGAAAAGTCTCTTATGTGAAAATTTGTTTATGCAAATTTGATCTTCTTATATGTTCACACTTATGCAAAACAACAACCAAAATAACTAAAAAAAACACTATGTACACCTGCATAGGATGAATGAATGAATGAACAGAAAACTTCATTTGCCGCTTTTCAGCGTTCACAAGGAATAACTGCATAGGATTGATGATGACATTTTATATATTCAGGTTATGTTGGGAAGTGAAGGGGGACCTAAGGGACTCATGTACACTGGTGGTGTGAACTTCTACAGACTGAAGTCTGCTATGCAGATTTGTCTGTTATGCAAGAGGAAAAACTGCCTCAAGATACAGTATGTTCTGCAAAAATCTGTTGCGCAGGAGGTCTCTTGTGCTGGGGCATTATAAACCTTTCGAGTTTTGGGCTTTTCCTATGAAACTTCCCTATTGACTTGAATTTTCTGAGACCTTTTGGCCATTATTTTCTTGACAAGGGAAAGAGAAAATCAATAAAAAATTAACTATATGCTTTGTGTTTTGAAAAAAAGTGAAAGACTAATTGGGCAAATGAACCCGTGTCTCCAAGTTCAGCATTTTCAAATTTTCAAAATTCTCTGACCATATTTTCAAAATTCCCTGCAATTGCTGCAATGTACCACACATTTCATTTTTTT